GAGGAGAAGAAAGGAGGAAAAAGGAGGAGGAGAAAGAGGAGGAGGAGAAGGAGAAAGAAGGAGGAAAAGGAGGAGGAGGAGAAAGAGAAGGAGGAGGAGGAGGAGAAAGGAGGAGGGGAATAAGGAGAAAGGAGGAGGAGGAGAAAAGGAAGAGGAGAGAAAGAAGGCGGAGAAATAAGAAAGAGAAGAGGGAGGAAGAGGTGAAGGAAGAGGTGAAGGAGGGAAGAATCGTAAACTAACAGAAAGCGGCCAGGGATAACGGAAAAGACCCTGTTATTAGTTCCTGTTGGCTCCTGTTATGTATACCTGTTACCTGTCGCTAATTGGCTAACAGAATACCTATAACAGATATTCACACAACAAGAGGAAGTACACCTGTTCTCCCTCAATGACAACAAACTAACTAACCTAACACTAAACTAACACTAACACTAACACTAAACTAAACTAACCTAACCAAACCTAACCTAACCCAAAGTTATGGTACAGTTATTTTTTCCAGCAGTTAATAACGTCTCCTACTTCTGTTATAACACAATCAATGAACAGTTAGATAACGATCGAATGACACACACACACACACACACACACACACACACACACACACACACACACACACACACACACACACACACACACACACACACAGAACTCGATGAAACAGTAGAGTTTACCCTATAAATATTTTTCGTTTTCTGTGCCAACTCTAACCAATAGTGTACGTGTGTGTGTGTGTGTGTGTGTGTGTGTGTGTGTGTGTGTGAGGGCAGGTTAGGGTAAAGCGCTATAGAATACAATAGGTGATATTTTAGTGTAGGCTGGTGGCTGAGAATTGATAAGGAGGGTACAGGGGGGGAGAGGGGTCAGGGGGAGAGGGTCAGGATCACCACCACCCTAACCTACTGCCACGCCCTCCCCACCCATACTAAAAGTCAATTGTACTAGATTACCTCTGTTATGTGACGTCCTGAGTTCCCTCCCCACTCCGCCATGAGGGAGGGAGGGAAGGAGGAGGAAGAGGGAAGGAGGAAGGAAGGAGGGAAGGATGGAGGGAGTATTAATTCAGGAGGCAGCAACAATTACTCGGTGCGTTATGTGTTGAAGTAGTACTGTTGCCCTCATAACAACACTCTGATTTGCATAATGAGTTTCTTTCATTGTGTGTGTGTGTGTGTGTGTGTGTGTGTGTGTGTGTCCGCTTTCTGTATATTTGTTTCATTATTATTATTATTTTTATTATTATTATTATTAATCTAAGCTGGGGTGTCTAATCTTCAGGTAAGTCCATATTCTATACAGTACTTTACTATAATTATACGCTATAAAAGGGAGGCATTAGATTTAGGCCTACAAATGTGTCACCTTTCTTTACACGGGAAACTGTGCCGGTGTCTGACTCCTCGACCCCAAAGGTATCACATTGCCATTTACTTAAACTCCCCATCTATTTTACATTCATAATAAAAATCGAATTTAAATTTATCCTTGCGTAATTATCAACAGTGTTTAATTTAATCATACGTGTATATTTTTGTTTAGTCTATTGGATAATCAGGAAGAAATAAGGTTAAGTAATTGTTCATCTCGCGGGAAAATATTGGAACTGTGATAGCTTCCGTACCCTCGGGTTGTAATGGTTGACGATGACGTTCATCATACTTTCTTCACCACCGTTATTGCCCATCCTCTGGGTTCATCAGGGGTCTAATGGAACCTATTGAACCCTCACACCCTGAACAAAGAAATAAGAAAAAAAATATCTACTGTAAATTACCGTAAACCTTCCGAACTAATCCCCAAGTTTGAGGCGACAATTGAGTCCACTATATGAGGACCTTCTCGATGGCTAATGGAAACTATGGAATGTTGACAAGAAGTGGCGTATGGTGAGAGAGGGTCGGCAACTCTCTCTCTCTCTCTCTCTCTCTCACCATGTTTACCCCCATCTCTCTCTCTTTCTTGGCAGAGGCAGGGAGTGAGTGAGTGTGGGAGGGAAGGAGTAGTCAGGGAGAGTGAGTGAGGGAGGGAGGAAATAACCAGGAAGAGTGAGGGAGGAAGTAGCTAGGGAGAGTGAGGAGGAAGTAGCTGGGAGTGAGGAGGAAATAACCAGGAGGAGGGAGGAGTAGGACCTGGTCTCAGGTATTTCCCACACTATTTAGATCCTAGGGCGTGCCCGGCTGTCTCACCTGCTGGGGGAGGGAGGGAGGGGGAGGGAACAGGGGGGGAGGGAGAGATGGTGAGATAAAAAGAAAGGGGAGAAAAGATGAGGAAGATAGAGAGAGGAGAGGATAGGGGAGAAGGAAAAGGTAGATAAAAGGAAGGAGTGAGGGGAGGGAGGGAAGGACGGAGGAGAGAGAGAGAGAGAGAAAACAAACACATAGCTCTCATCACATAACAGACCCTAATATGCTAATGAGCTGACCATCCAAAGTGTGAGTCAGCTTTATCACTACTTCTTCTTCCTCTATCTTGCTTTTATCACCATCATCCCCCGTTCGTTCTTATCTCTCTTTTTCTCTATCTATTTCTACTTGTCACATCATCAACAACATTTTCACCAAATCAACAAAAATGAATAAATAAAACCAAGAAATAAATCCACCAATTAAACAACAACAATTAAACAAGTTAACCAATAAATTACAAAACAAAAACAAAAGAATAACCATATATTTCAACACCTTATAAACTTGGTAAACAAACAAAAGACAATCGGTATAGAACACAATATTGGAACCCTCTATTTACGTATTTTTAAGAGAGGTTAAAGTTCAGGTTACGAGTTGAAGTCGAGTTGTAGTGGGGATATTTTTTCCCTCTCTCTCTCTCTAATTAACCAAGTTTGAGGTTAGGTCAAGCGTGACTTTCCTGACTCTAGAGGTCGACCTTAGAATGGAGAAGGAGGTGGTAGGGGTTAGATGGTGGTTAGTAAGTGGTGGTGGTGAATGACAAGGGAGGGTTACGTTCCGAGGATGGTAGTGGTAGTGGTGGTGGTGAATGGGGGAGGTGGGATTTAGATGGTGGTAGATGGGAGGCGGTAGATGAGGTTAAGGTAATAGTGGTGGTTAGGTAATCCCTTAGCTGGTGTGGTGTCACTACACACCACTACTACACTATTACACAAATAGTAAAACCACAACCACCCCTCAACATAACCACAATTCCTACTACCATTACCTAAGGTGAACACAATAGTTATCTATTTTTCTATCTTTTCTCTATCTATCTACAGTATCTATCTATCTATCTATCTATCCATCTATCTATCTATCAGAACGCCAGAAGACGGCACCAATAGTTAGTGACCACGAGTTAAGTAAATAAGGTAAAAACTGGTCAGTACAAACAGTTAGAACTTACGGGAAAAGGCAGAAAAGCCACACACAGGACGGGTTATGTGGACGTCTGTCTGGCCCAGCGAGGCGACATTCCCTCCTCGGTCATGCAGTAAGGTCAAAGGTCACCAGGAGGTCACCAGCGGCTCCTCCAGGGACGCTAGTATCACCTGAAGGTCATAACGGTGTGTATAGCTTCCTGTCGGCTACGGATGTCCGACCTGTGTGGCCCTACTAATTACAGGTTAGGTTAGGGAGGACAGGTGTCGAGTCGAGGATGGTTAGGTGTCGAGTCGAGGATGGTTAGGTGTAGTGAGGATGGTGGCTGGGGCGGATCCAGGAATATCAAGAGGGTAGGGTCCAAGAAGTTGTGGGTGGGGTAACATGGCCAGCGTAAAGAGACCACCAAGCTGGGGTGGGGGCAGTAAGCCTCCCCATATTTTTTTGGAAATCTGACCAATATCAGGCATTTGAGCCATGCACACTTGATATCAGGATATATTCTGAAGTCAATAGTAAATACTTTTTACTATACAAAAATGATCAAAGAAAAAGTATTGGACCCCCCCCTTGGGTGGTGTATGGACGGTGGTAGTGGCAGTGATTTACGAATGGTGGTAGTAGGGATGATGGTAGTTGGGTGCTGTAGTGGGAGTTTTAGTATAAATTATTCTATTATTTTGATAACAAATACAACAAAAATATTTATCTTTCATTCTTTGATCAATAACTTATTAATTTTTTTAGAAAATGAAGTGGAATAAATATTAAAATTTTCGATAATGAAATGATTTTACATTTACCATCCTCGTCGTAAACATAATAGGCAAGGAATATGTAATGAGGAAGTATAACTCTACATTAAAACCTGATGGCAGAGTAACAAACTTATCAAAGAAAACGGTTACTCAACAAGGGCAGACTATTACTGTTTCTTGAACTATTTTTTTTGTTTAGCCTCATAGAAGAGGTATTCATGAACGTCATAGAAAAAGTACAATATAAAGTAGTTTCCTTGGACTAAATTAACTGAATTAACCATTATTAATGAAGATATTGTGAAGTACTTTATGAAACTTGTATTTATAAGTAACGAATGGGCATTAAACGGAAATATTTAATACTTTACATTTAAATCCTATTTGCTAAAAAAATACAATACCTTCAGAGAATGTGACAATTAATTTTCTTTTAAATATTAGGGAAAAACAAGAATCACAACCTAACAGGATTATTACACAACACATGTAGATGTATACTCTACATTTTTATATATAACCCGATACAGTGCTTCTTAAAATAATACAATTAAGAATTAAACACAGCTAAAAATAATATATAGTAATTATTTATAGAAAATAGTAATAGAAATCCAAGATATTAAAAAATAAATAAAAATCACTAGTCACTGTATGTGTCGTCTTCCTGGTATTCCACAAGCATGTCACAGTGGCTAATGTTAAAACTTAAAATGAACATAAACACAATATTGTTTCTCTATCCTAAGTTAAATATAAAAATATAATAAAGAAAAATCGTATTTAAATTATTTTATCATAATTATAGATCAGGTTAGAATGATTTTAAATTTTATTATTATGTAAACTCTAAGTATTTTTTCCCACCCCCACCCCGGTGTTCGTGGTAATTCCTTCAACATTGTGGCTGGCATCATGTGAACAGCTGATGTCAATAACACACACACAAGGTCCAGGTAAATGTGTACACTCATTCTTCAAAAACATCCTAATATATTAATTAACTGGTAAGATAATATTTGTTAGTATAATATCAGAAAATAATGACGTTAACCAAATAACTAAAGCATTAATTATCTATCTATCCATCTATTTATGTCTATATATATCTTCAGGTGATCCTCATGATAATTAACAATCACTTATTATTAACCCATATCGTTAATTACAGATCAACATACAAATCCCTCACAATGGAGAAAACTCAAGCTAACAATAATAAGTTACCATCAAATCTACCACAGCTACAGAACCTTATAAAGAGGGATTCCGACTCGTACATGGAGGAGTTCGAGAGACAACATTCTTAGAGAACCTCTATCAGATGGTTATGTTTCTGGCTCAGGTGTGGTGGTATTTTGTTGAGTATTCTTAGTTATTCTTGTGTTTCTGGCTCAGGTATATGGTATTTTGTTGAGTATTCTTAGTTATTCTTGTTTAACCAAATGTACTTAATACCATAGTTTGCTTAGTATTATAACTGTTTATGAAAATGATTATGTGATTTTTATATTGAATTATTTTTGTAAACTATCGTATCTCTTTTGATGGTAATATACGTCATTCACGGTGCTATTGATATGGGGGTCTTGCTTAATAGTGAAAGAAGATGAAATGTTTAGTAAATGTTTTAAGGTACTATTATTTCCTTACAAAGATAAAATAATAATTAAATGTGAAATTAAAGTTTAGAAAAAGTTGCCGTTACATAGAAATATGATTTTCACCGTTGTCTCCTGATACAAGTAGAGTGGCACAGAAACAACTCCAGCGCAACGATAACAAAACACACAGTCAGCCGCAGTGATCAGTCTAGGCGACGATTATCTGCATACAATTCAGACAAAGACTTTAATAAAAATGAAAAAATTATAAACACTCACCAGTTAATTTTTACGGAGCTTGTTGTGTGTTTGACCGCTGTTGCCTTGCTTCTACCGCCCTCCTCCTCCTCCTTGGCAGTGAGAGACCTACTCAGTTGACACTCCACTGTTTCTGGCAGCTTATTCCTTGTGTGGGAAACCTTCATAGCAGCTAAGGACATGGTAGACTGTCTGGCTCTTTTTATATGTTCCTTGTTGTTGAGTGTCATTTTAACAGTAGAGGAAGCCAAACCAAAGCCTCACCCTTCATGTCACTCTCCTGGGTACACCTTGGCTAGTTTATCAACAAACTCACTTGCTGTTTACCAGACATTTTTGGCATAAAATGTTCACAAAACACACCTGCCGTGACACAACCCGAGATGATCACTGATTACCTTTGAGGATGTCAACAACGAAGATGGCCGTCAACTTTATCTTTGATTCTTTTTCACAAATGTTTTATTTATTTATTTCTTGTTGAATGGTATTTTTTAAGTCCTTTTAATGAAAATCTGTTGGCTGAGGCTTCATTAAAGTACTGAGGTTGTCAGTGTTGATGGTTTCTACAGCAGGTCTTCAGGTGCTGGACTGTGATGTGTCTCTCTCTTTCTTCATTACTCTGTTAAAAGGTAAACCAAAAATTACCTTGTGGTTTTATGATTACTGCTGTACAGTATTTGCTTGGCTGCCAACACTTCATATGTATTAAACTGTGTAAATGTTGTAAACAATTATTACCTGCGAGTGCCAGGATATACCTGTGTACGGTACAGTGCATTACATGTTCTCATATTGTGTGTGTAAATAGTGATTATTTTTAATGTTATGTGGGACTACATTTGTGTACAGGTGGCCCAGTGTTACCCGGACAAAATGAACGAGTACCCTCAGGAGTTGACGACCATCTTGAAGCGGCATGGTTCTGTGTTACATCCAGAAATGCGGTTGGTCTTTGTGAAGGCGTTGATTCTGCTGTAACAAGAACCTTTTGTCTCCAATAGACCTGCACATGTTGTTCTTCCAGCTGTTACACTGTCAGGTACACTCACCTCATATTCACTCTTACTTTAATTTGATTTAATAATGGCATAGTGCAAAATTGCACCCCATAGCATTTACAACTGTTGTTCTGAAAAATATTTCATAAAAGTATTGAATGGCAAATTTATGTAATATAATTGAAGAGATTTAATGCTGATTACATAAATATTAAAGTTAAGCCATCAATTACAGTGACTTAGTTTGCCATTTTAGTGTGTGTTTTTTTATTGATATTGGAGTGTATTGATGTGGAAAATACTGTATATAGTTTCTTACCCAAATATATTTTTGTTCATATTGAAAATTATCGTACATTACAGGACAAGAATCTACGGCAATTTCTGAAGCAGCACATTGTGACAGATATAAAAAACATCAACTCTAAAGGTAAGAATATGAAGCTAAACAAAGAATTACTGAACTTTATGTTTGAGATGCTGACGTCCAGACACGCCATTGCTGCCAAAACCTCGCTCGACGTGATGATTCAACTGTACAACAAACGTGTGTGGAACGACGCCAAAACTGTCAACATCTTATCTATGGCGTGTTTCTCCAAGGTGACCAAGATTATGGTGGCCGCCATAAAATTCTTCATCGGTCGGGACGAAGAAAAGACAGACGAGACGGACTCGGACAGCGACCCTGAAGACGACCAGAAAGTGCTGAAGGCGGCGAGGATGTCCATGAAGGTCAACAAGAAGACAAAAAAGAAACAGAGGAAAATGGAAAAAGTAAAATCTGTGGTTAAAAGGAATCAGAAGAAGAAGACGACAAAGGTCAATTTTGACTTCTCCGCCCTGCACTTAATTCACGACCCTCAGGACATGGCCGATAGACTCTATAAACGTTTAGAAAAGATGAACGAGAGATTTGAGGTAAAGTTGATGACAATGGACATGATCTCCCGTCTAATTGGCATCCACCACTTGTATATTCCTAATTTTTACCCTCTGGTCCAAAGGTTCCTCTTCCCTCATCAGCGTGAAGTCACTAAAGTCATGGTGTTTGCAGCTCAGGCAGCCCACGCTCAGGTTCCCCCGGATGATCTGGAGCCGGTAGTCCCACGCTTGCAAACAATTTCGTGACTGAACGTTACTCGAGCGAAGTAATGGCGATGGGGCTCAATGCCATAAGGGAACTTTAAGTAGGAATCCTCATTGTATGTCAGATGACTTACTACAAGATTTGACGGGGTACAAGACACACAAGGACAAGGGGGTCATGATGGCTGCCAGGTCCCTCATATCTCTCTTCAGAGACAAAAACCCGGAGCTTCTCGCCAGGAAGGACCGTGGGGCTCCTAGTGAACCAGCCGAGAAAAAGAAAGAACAGTTTGGACAGAGCAATGCCGTGAGTTATATTCCCGGGGCTGAGATATTAACATTTAAGACGGGGTGAAAGAAGGCATTGGGTCAAGTGACAGTGAGAATGATGATGAATGGATTGATGTCCAACATTCTGATGATGAACTGGATCTGGGTAATGATAGTGATGGTGATGATACACCTAATGATGGTGACAAAAAAGCAGCAGCAGCAGATGACGACGATGACGACAAGGTGTTCTCCACAAAGGAAGCCGTTATGAAGTGATGAAGCTGACGGCAGAAGAGAGAGCGGCCCGGCAAACCGACGTTGTCAGCTCTCGTTTCCTGACAGATGCCGACTTTGCCAGGATAGCAGCACTACAAGCTACCAAACAGGTTGAGAAGTTCAGCAAAAGCAAAAAGAACAAGAAACGTAAAAGGCAATCCAAGAAAACCACAGAATCTGGAGAGCTGGTGTCTTAAAGAGTATTGAAATGATTTACAAGAAGAGGAAACACTCTAAGGAAGCCAGGATGGAGACGGTCCTGGCCGGGAGGGAAGGCAGAGACAAGTTTGGAGCCAGGAAGGGTCGCATGAACCCAAACGCCTCCACAACTAACAGGGAAAAGTCGAGAACCAAGAGCTTCATGATGGTGAAGCACAAACTGGCAGGCAAACAGAAGAAGTCATTCCGAGACAAACAGATCAAACTCAGAAATTCACTGTTGAAGCGGAAAAAGAATTTTTAGATTTTCAGTAATGAAGGGGAGGAGTGCTGGGGGTAGGGACACTCAACATGAAGAGCTACCATTGGGTGTCCATGGCTGACAAGCATGGAAAATGGTCATAAAAATTATGATGATAATATTTTTTGTATACATACTTGTAATATCAGTTCAATTAGTACAGTTTATTCTTCACCTTACTAATGGATGGTCACAGGTAAGAACAGAGTGGAAGATGTACACAAACCTCAAGAACTCTATTAAAAACAAGCCACAAACGTGTCTCGTTTTCTTTATCCTTGACTCCAGCCTTTACTGTATACCAAATAATGTAACCAGATACAGTACAGTACTTGATTTATTTCCCACCTCACTCCTGAATTTCTTGTTTCTGTTAAAATAAAAACTCTGACCTGATCCAGTGTTCATATTTATGTTGGGACAAATATCAACAAATCAGATAAAAACACGATACTTGGATGTGATTATTCATTATGCGTTGCCTCTCGCCATTGTGTCCCCTTGGGGAAACGGGCAACTTATACTGTACTGTACTAACATTCAACAGTACAGTATGATGAGGATAACTAAAATATAAAAACAATTAATAATATATAATTGTATGTACCATAAATACAGAATACTGGTTAATATATACACATGGAATATATTATAACACTCGAAAAAAAAATTATCTTTACAATATTATTCTCAGCAAAACAAAATGACACCACGAATGAAGGTGGTTTTCAAGAAGGCCCTACATGCACTGTTATTCCTCACTCATATTGCAACTAACTAATTTTATATTTTGAATGAAATGAACTAGATTAAGCCTACCATAATAGGTAGGAAATGTCTCGCAATCATGCCTACCAACACTTTTGAGACAACACAATTGTTCAGTTCGAAATTAATCGGACTCCTCCTGAAAGATAGTTTTTTCACCGAGTGTATACATGTATTCTTAACAGTTTTGTGCTTGTAAAATAAAATAAAAGTATCACAATCCTGTCTTTTATGCTTCAAAGCTGTCAATACTACATAACGAGATAATAAGGAATAGATTTCTCTACACAGGATAAGTGATTTATTAGTTTCACCTGAAGATTAACCACCTTTAACACTATTAGGGGGGGGGGTGGTTGACCTTAAGGTGATACAAACCAGGGCAGTAGGTCTTCAGGTAATTCTATAATGTAACCTTTAAACAGTAGTGAAGAACAGAAAGCTTAATGTGGTAAGTCTGCTGTGATGAGGTGAGACTTACAGTGTTTCAAGTGCTTCTTCTGTGAGAGTGAGTATTGTTATGTAAAAATTGTGACTTATAAAGTTCATTTACACATTATTCTTAATATTTCAAAGATTTTTCTCCTTAAAGACCTAAATTGAAAGTGATGAAAAGCTTAAATGAGCCAAATTCTACATGACAAGCTTACGTGCAATACTTTAGTTCATCTTCAAAGTATTCAATGTAGTGTAGAGGGTTAGTGTGTCATCACACTTGGATGATTCCCAGCTCGGCGATCATTTTGTTTCATACAAATTTTGCCATTCCACTTTGGATAATTAAATCAAATCACATAAACCGGATAATTTCTGTGAGGTGTACCGTAACCAGAGGGTCACAGTGTCAAGTCATCCTTCCCTCCCTGGCAAACACCCACAAGAAAAAACTCCAGCACAAGGTACAGTAGGATGTAATTTCGTTGTCTTTCTGTGAAAATTTTGACCGTTTGTTGTCTTCCATCTTCAAGTAGCCTTAAAGTTATAAATTTAAAAGACAATTTCTAACAATAAATATAATATATTCTCAGTAACAAATGACTAGAAAAGACACATCTCTCACAGGTGTCTTAAGAAACATACAGGGTGATCACTCACTGGTAGACCCACTCATATAACCATATACCCATGACCAATAAACACAGAGAAAGAATATAACATCAAAAACACTAATATCACAAAAATATTAACAATATTTAGTCGCCAGTGAGTGAACCATGTGTGTCCTCCCTCACGTCCAAGGTAAAAAGTTGGAATATAAAATTATTCCAATCATAAAATAGAGAAAGAAATAGGACAATACAACTTGTCCCCAAAAAGGTTTAGGGAATTCCGAGAGTAGAAAAACTGTATATCGCTTGGTCATGTTCGTGATGCATTCTGGTCGGTCGTCGGTGTTTTCCTTGGAGATAGTCCCAGTCGAGCGCTTGGGGTGGTCGGTGATGAGGTGGGCAGCAAACCAGTACACGACGGGACAGCTAGAACACAACAGTCTCGTGGTCACCTGTAAAAAAATGTTTTGTCCAGCTGCATCAGACATGAGTCACATTGGTTCACCTCACCGTCATCAAGAATGGTCGGCCCTGAGGTAGGTACAGTATCTTGAATCACGTGAAGATTGGGCACTTAACTCGAAGATTAATCCGTACTTGATCGGGTTAGGGAATGTTAAATGTCATCCACAGGTCGGCAAAAAGCGATTTTTTTTGAGGGCATAAAAGGTGCAGTTTGGTGTATAAAACTTGATAATAACATTAATTTTGGCTGTACTCGCCATTTTAAAGCTCCTGCACCAGAAGGTTGGACGGGAGGTGTGGTGTAATAAACAGCACAGAGTTACCCCATTGAGTCACGTTTTCTACTGCTCGAGTTATATCTCCACTGTTCCCCTGCTCGAGTTATATCCCAACTGTTCCCCTGCTCGAGTTATATCTTCACTGTTCCCCTGCTCGAGTTATATCTCCACTGTTCCCCTGCTTGTTATATCTCCACTGTCTCCAGCAGGGTAGTTAATCTTCAGACAAAATAAGCTGGGGAAGCTAATCTTCATGTGATCCCCCAGGTTCTTGTCAACGATAGTAATATTTAAAACTGACAAAACAACGAATACAAACACCACAAACCAGGGCTAATGTATCTGGCTTGGCGTCAATTTGGATACCCCTCTTCTCACCAGATGCTAAAACTAATTGCCTTAATGAAAAAGAAAGATATAAGATGAGGATTATTACAAACAGCTTCACCCGACACTTACCTGAACGTGGATAATAAAGGACGCAAAACGCACACAGGCAAAGGAGTGAGCCATGAGGACGAACACACGCCAGGAGTTGATGCCTTCCTCTGGCCACAGGGACGACTGTTTTTTCTGTTCCGAGGCAGGTGGTGGGATGCCTAAGCCCCAACACACCTTAGAAAATAATGAAAGTTTACAAAAATATGATCATGTGAAGATTAAGCAGCCTTAATGTTAACCTAAGCTCACCAAAACAAATACAAGCTAGTGCCCCCACGTAATATTAGGGTATTAATTCATCAAGAAAAAATAAGCTGAGTGCCTAATTTTCAGGTGATCCAACACCATAGTTTATATCTCATCTTTATCAGCAATTCAACAATGAAGATATGGGTGAAAAAATATCTATTCATCAATATTTACTGCATTTATTTTTGCACCTGAAATACAGTACAGTAGTATGACACTTCCATCTCAACACACACACACTGTGGTATAAATGACAAATAAGCATCCTTGGTCAAATTGCCAACTGTTTGCCACTGTTGTATACTATAGACTATCTAGCAGGAACTATATACTGTATCATGCCCATATGCACCGTATACCTACATGGTCTATATTCATGTTGATCCGTATAACTGCTTAATTTATATACATTCCTAACCAATTGTAAACCACTATGACAATTTGACTGAATAAATATCATTTTTATTTTTATACTACCTGAGGGTTATCCACCATGTAGAGGGCAGCATGAAGGATAATGATCATGACAACAGGTAAGGCCAGGATAAGCTGGCATTGCCGACTCTTAGTAGCTGAAGAACCCCACCTGTAACAACACCACAGAGTTGAAGTAAGGAGACTAAGATCTGGTTTTAAAACTTATCAGTAAAACATCTGTGACCTATGTCAGTTAATGTCTGTCAGCATTGGTATTCACATTCTGAGACGAAAAACAGAAAAACAAACACATTTTTCTTCATCACTTGGACCTGAGCTTTATATAAGTTACCAGAACATTTGGTTAAATATAACAACTTGTAACACTAATACCGAGAAAGAAACTTGTCAGCTATGCAGTAACATCCACCATAATATTTGTATGAAAAGTTATTATCCCCTCCCTGAAGAGAAGGTTGGTGTGTTCATTACTGTATTCTTTAAGATGATGTTTCTTCAAGTCTGAGACCAAGTGGTGTATACTAAAAGCCAACAAATGAAACTGTGCTCCTTGAAGTGGGTTTTCATATTCATGTTGGGGGAGATCTATTGATCATAAGAAGAGCACCATAAGCTTATTTCAATTCATTAAATACCTTAATGCTAACTCAACTTAACACTCTAGGTAGCATTTGGGAGTTTTAATCATTGAGCAAAATAAGCTGGAGGGACTAATCTTCATTGACATGTTTTATTGTCACTGACTGACAGGACGTTTGATGTACCTCCCAGTATTTATCCTGGACGTGCGAGTAAGCTAACGGAGGGATGTTGTAGCACCACTCGGCTTCACCAAGATTTGGGGAGTGTAGGAAGTTTGACCTTACGAACATCTCCAGATGAGGAGCAAGTGAAGGAGAAGTGCCTTCTTCACCACAGTACATCTGTCCGGAAAGATGAACCATGTTTACGTTTTGCAACATAACCTAACTTACTTGTGTTCACAGCTAGGTATTTCATTCTGTAAAATAATTTTTCAGAATCATTTGTTTCATCAATTTTACTTACACTGTAACACCACATCTGGAAGAGAGCAAATGGTAATATAACGAAAATAAACCAATAAACAGAGGTATGAGTGTGTAGTTGAACGTGAGGACCAGCACCAGCAGCAGAGACAACTGTCCAGATTCAGTGGCATTCCGAATCCTGGAATTAATGAGAAGTATTCTAAAAAACCAGAGTAATTGGGGTTCATTAAGTTTTAGCCATCATCGAAACTATAAAACTTGGATAAAATAATTGAACAATGTTAATGATAAATAGCTCCATTGGTTTATTGTGGTCTACAGTTAATATATATGTGAGATAGCATATATAGAGGTGATCAAAAGAGGTACACCGACATTTTCACTTTTACTATAGTTTGATTAACAGTACTGTAAATAAGGAAGAACTTGTAATGAATAACTTACAAAGAACTGGCACTAACAATTATTTTGAACATATATTATAAATTCTATATTACATACAGTGGTCAAAATAGTAATAAAAATAAAAACTCTGTAATGCAACATTTTGATCACCCTGTACAGTATACTGACACTTATGATCCTCAATCAAACTTACTTGTAGAAATAAGTAGAACAGTCCTGTAGTTTTCTGTACAGAGATAATCCAACATTGACCAGACCATTAGATCTGGCTGCCGAAAATGTCGGAAGTGCAACAGAGGTGCTCTTGGCCCTGCTTCAGCAAACAGGGAGAAAAGGTCAAGAAGGCAAATATCCCTCCGGTGTGCACTGAAGAAGATGCTGACGGGTTGATGCTAAGAAGAGTAACGCAGCTCTATACACGCCAACACTCATCTCGCACTTCAGCCTACGAGGTAATACTACTGCAGTCTTCACAAAGAGGTAAAGTTTATTAATACCGTGATATCAACAAGAGTAATTATAATAATTGCATATAAAGTAGTGGAATATTGACTTATGGCGACAAAGTATAGCCAGAGGAAACAGCGGAAGAAAGCCAGTGTTCTCGAGTGTACGCATCAAAGCGATGTGTGGTGAAGTATTGAGCGTCCCAGCGTACCAATCCACCCAGAAGGGCCTTGGACCTGGTCTGGCCATGAAGCTGGGAGATCCGGGTCTTCGGGGGAGACAAAGGCATCAGCTTGGTGGTCTGGGATGATCAAGTTTGACACAGCCTGTCCATAAGAAACCAATTATTTTTAACATATGAAAATTATATACTACAGTGAATACATATACAGTGTAATATACCTCTAGCCACTTTATATGATACTATACATACATTATTGATGGTATATATACTGTACTATGATCTGCAAATCTACAAAAATATTATACAAACTCATTAAAAAATTCTTCATCTATTTCCTGAATATATTGTAGCTAATTTGATTATCGTTCCACCTTACATCAGGATTACTTATTCCACGGTTATATGAGCTAATTATTAACTCACCTGTAGCGTTAATACCACAACTCTTGAAGCAATGGCAAAGTTTTATTTTCTGTCTTAACGTAGGTCGTCATCCTTCACCAAGTGGTTTAAATAACTAATAAAGAGAAGCATTGCCTCCCATCTGACCCTTAACGACACAAACAAACAGACCAGGGCCTTATTTCAGGTTGGTGTACTCTATAAAATGAGTTATATAATTCATTAATAAGAGCCAGAATCTATAATTATAACATGCTAGCTTATTTTTATTTCAATATATTAATACATATTTACTCAAATTCTTCTTTCCAGTAAATATTTATACTTTCTTGTGTTATTTACCTTAAGTTTAACCCGGAAATAATTAAATTAAAACGTATTTTTCACCAAATAACCTAAAAAATATTATTAAGACATTATTAATAAGACAAAAACCCACTTTTAGTATAGATATAAAATTAGTTATTAGTTTTTGATAGATACTAATCCCATAAAGGGGTTTACATTAGCTTCAGGTGCAGCAGTGACAGACGTATACAATCAACACCTTGTCATGTCTGAGTCCTGGCCCTAACACACATGAGAAGGGCGACACTAGACACAAGAAGTCATAACAAAGTATTAAAGAACAGGAGTTTTACCAATGTATGTATGTATGCATGTATGTATGTATGTATGTATGTATGTATGTATATATGTATGTATTGTTTCGAATCTCACTGAAACCTTGAATAGGATGAATTAATCCTTTCAGAAGATGCCTTACCCTTCTGAGTACAATGAGAGAGAGAGTTTGCGAATTGCAGTGATCTCTACCAGCCGAAAAATGGTAAAAACAGAGATAAACAAACTGATCTAAAAAGTGGGAGTGGATGGAGAGGCAAGTGTTCCTGTGACCAGATTCAATTTAACGAAAGAGTCTTGATGCGGCATTTCATGTTATTTTTGTGTTTTACTGCGAGCCAGTCAACCTGTGAGCCAGTCAACCAGTGAGTTAGTCAACCAGTGAGTTAGTCAACCAGTGAGCCAGTCAACCAGTGAGTTAGTCAACCAGTGAGTTAGTCAACCAGTGAGTTAGTCAACCAGTGAGTTAGTCAACCAGCGAGCCAAACAACCAGTCAGGTACAGTCTTACATCACTACTTACGACAAATATTAATCCTACCTCACCTTCTGAAACTTGACCTTAGGATTCATACATGCTATATATATCTTAACTAATATTTTCTTTTGGGGATGGTTCTAATATAAGACTGTTCTATCATAAAGCTGTTCTATTATAAGACTGTTCTATTTCAGGATAGTTTTGTTCTACACACACACACACACACACACAGCATCATGAGTGAGGAGCTGCACGAGGGCCAGAGGGAGCATGTTGTTCCCGAAGGTTCCCATGAGGCAACCCACTGGACAAAGATGAAATGGCTGCTTACGTCCTGGAAAGCTGGATATTAATTCAATCATATATCGGTGTGTTGTTCTTATCCGTGTGTCTGTGACATTGTGTTTTTGTTCTGGGGGGATGCTTGCTAACCCAAGTTACACTGATAACGATTCCATCCTTAACCTGGACCTGACCAAACACTCTCCCCTGCCTCACTCTCTCTTGTAGACTGACACCGACATTATTGATGACTGCTGGTGCTGGCCCTGCTGTAGGGCTGCTGGGGTTCCTGCTCGTGGTCATCTGCTGGTTCTCCACAACATAAAACCCAAGATGAATGTAAGTGATCAAT